GTGGGAGGCACATATGCAAACTGTTGTAATTCCTACACTGTTCACCTGATTTGGATGTAAATACCCTCAAATTAAAGCTGACAGTCTGCAGTTAAAGCACATCTTGTTCGTTTCATTTGAAATCCATTGTGGTGGTGTATAGAGCCAAAAATGTTAGAATTGTGTCGATGTCCCAATATTTATGGACCTGACTGTATGTGTTTGTTGAACAGCTCATTCCAGATTTATTCCCCCTTTGCTGTTATAATAAGCTCCACTCATTTGCGGCATTTGGCAGATGCCCTTATCCAGAGCGACTTACATTTATCTCATTTATACAAATAAGCAGCTGCTCAAGGGCCCAGTGGAGGCAGATTGTTGGGATTTAAACTCATGACCTTCCGATCAGTAGTCTAATGTCTTAACCACTAAGCCCACCACTGCCACTCCTCTGGGAAGACTTTCCAGTGAAGGGAAATTGAAATGCTACAGCTCACAAAGACATTCTATACAATTATGTGCTTCACTGCTTCTGGAAACAGTTTGGGGAAGAACCAGATATGGCCATATAGTGTACCTAGTACATTCATTCACTGTAAAATATACAACATAAATTTTCACTAGTCTCTACAAACCCAATCCATATTTCCCATGACTCCCCATGAGCCAAAAACATGATGTGACCATTTCTTTCTTACATTACGACTAATTTACCACTAATCTAATTTGGACATGGCCACACTGTCAAATATTTGGAGAGTTTTTGAGCCTAGACAGTGTTATTCTTTGAGTTACGTCACATTCAAGCTGTCCGGATTGTGCTGAATCTCCTCACTGCCCCCATTTATCTCTCTCGCTTCGCATATCACTAATACTTTCTCTGACCCCAAATTCCACACCCATCTGGTCTTTATTTATCCCCAAATCCCCCCTGCTCTGTTCAGCTCTCTCTCTCTCTCTCACTCCTCTTTAGTAGATACAGATGTGGGATGTTTATTAAAGTTAGGCAACAGGAAATTCCCAGAATCTTTGGGGGCCCTGAGCTGGAGCACGAAGAAAAGTGTGCAGAATATTTAGGGGTAAAAAGTGTCCAACTACAACATACTGTACTGAACACCAACTCAAGACAGACAGCCAGCCAGCCAGAGACAGAGAGAAGGGGCGTTGCATTCTTTACTGTGTCTGTTTTCCTCTCAGGAAACGCATCCTGTTGCTGGATGTTAACATGTTTGTCACAGAGACAGAGAGAGAGAGAGAGAGAGAGAGAGACTTGGTGACAGATAAACTGAGGTACATTCATATTTCAAGTGACAGAACAGGAAAGAGAGAGAGAGAGAGAGAGAGAGAGAGAGAGAGAGAGACTGTCTGGGAAACAGAGAGGAAAAGAAAAAAAACGCCCCCAACCCCTCCGGCAAGCCCCAACACACAGCTGTACAAGCACGGAGAGAGAGATGTGAACACAGAGAGAAAGATCTGAGCAAGGAGAGAAAGATCTGAACAAGGAGAGAAAGATCTGAGCACGGAGAGAGGTTTTAACAAACAAACCAGAGACAGAGAACTGAACACAGAGAGAGAGACTTGAACACGGAGAAAGAGAGGGAGAGAGAGATCTGAACACGGATAGAGAGAACCGAACACGGAGAGAGCGAGCGCGAGAGAGATCTGATCACGGAAAGCAATCAATAGTTGTGCATAAATGGAGTTAAAGAGAATCTGGGAGTGGAGGTTTTAAACTGGAGACAGAAGTGTGTGCTTGTGTATTTGTGTGTGTGATGGCCGTGGAGCTGGTCGGGACGAGCGTGAGTGTGTGTGAAGTCCCGGAGAGCGAGGAGGAAGGCTGAGGATTCCAGAAACTTCTAAACCAGCCCGAATCACAGACACACACTCTAATCATAATGAGCGGAGATGTTCTCTAGCTGAGCTCTTTTACAGCGTACGAGTCTCCGTTTCTATTTCGCGCACGTGTGTGTGTGTGTGTGTGTTGGAGCGCATGGCCGCGGGCAGGCTGGTGCTGGTGGCCGTTGCCGTGGCGCTGGTGTCGCTAGTGCTGAACGTGGTGGCGGCACTGGGCTCGGGCTGGGCTCTGCAGGCGCTGGAGGACGGCCGCAAGCGCAGCGTGGGACTCTGGAAAGTGTGTACACATGATACAGATACACACACGCCGCCACACAGTCTCGCCACCACCGCACCGTGCCAGACCCTCGGCTGGGGAGCCGACCTCGCGGGATACCAGGAGTCACGTAACACCGTCAAACGTGAGTGTGTGGTGTGTGTTTGTGCATTAACAGTATTAACTAAACCCATGATCGTGTGACAGTTCAACATTCCAAAAGCATTTCTTTCCCGCTAATGTAGTCGAACAGCTGAGAGTCTGAAGTTTGCTTTTGTTTTTAAGCTTTGTTAAAGCCTTGGAGCTACGATGCTAATGGTGCTAACAAATAATGGAAGCATATAACCTCCAGTTTAGCAAGGTGTACTAAATGTGCAACATCCCAAAGTCACAGTGATTAAAAAGAGCTGGAGCTCCATCCTGAATCGCTTTCTTCCTCAGCACAGAGTGTGGTGTCACTGCACACCAGCGTTACACTCAGGTAGGGGGTGTGGCCTAAAGTCTGAAGAGAAACAACTACTGACCCTAAAGTCAGTCCAAAGGAGCATGTTTCACACACAAAAGACTGCTTTATTTTATACATTTGAGAACAATGTGTATATTTTATTTTTGACTAACTTTTCCCTTTAACTCACACATGATGATGTTCTTCCATAACTAGAAGTAACTAGAAAGTGTTCTTTAATAACTAAAAATCCAAAGCAGTGTGTGTGTGTGTGTGTGTGTACTGACTTTAGCACAGTGTCAGTACTCTTTATTCTCCAGTCAGTGCACTATAGTTACACTGTTTCTTACACTGTATTAAATAAAATAAATTGTGATATGTAAATTAGTGTTAACACAATAAACAGAGGTTTACTGAGCACCTGTCATCAGTAGGGAACCAGGCCTCCCTCCAGCGGCATGCATTTAGGACCGAGTTGAATCCAAAGGTTTAATAAATATATACGCTAGAAAGTTCCTCGTATTCAGTCGGGTTACGCTGGTAAATTTGAGCTCCACAATAAATTTGGACCTCTGAGGTTGCAACATTTTTGCTGAGCAGAAGTGTCCAAGACGGTGGTTTTACAAAAGCAACTAGACAACCGCCTTTAAACACAAACACTCACCTTTAAAACCTCAACAAAGTCAGGGATAGAAAATGCGGACTGAAGAAGGAAATAGCGCTGTTTTTCACTGCTGTCAAATGTAATATGACGTAACATACAACACAAGATATGTCACATATTTAGAGCAAAAAGTACGTATATATAATCGTCTGCCAAATATGTTTGCAAATATGAAATAGGAGTTATAAAGAGATTCTTATTTTAGTACATTAATTTTTTCGAAAGAACTGATGAATATAGGTGAATGTCCTGTTTCACTACAGCTCACAAGCTCATTCACATCATCACACGGTTTAACATTATAATATAAATTATTAATTCAGTGATCAGCTTTTTATTTTTTACACTATGAAACTTCTTAAACTAAACAATGCAGTCACAGTATTTTTAAGAATGGATATATTGATTCTTAACTGCTCCAGTAACGACTATTTCTATATTCCTCACAAATATAGAAGTGTAAGAAGAAAAATATAAGCTACGTTGGAAATGAAATCTTTCTGAATCTCCTGACTGATTTTCTGCAATGTTTGTGACGTCATTTAATTCATTCAAATGCTACACAGCTAACAGCCTTAATTTCCACTCTCCTCTATGTACGTAATACACTGTGTGTTACAGAAAAACACTGAGTGACAGGGTGGTGTGATGAAGCAGAATTACTGGTATCACCAAGAAGTTGATTATTTTCTTATAACAGCACGTCCCCACGTGTGTTATACCTCTTTTTCCACTGCAACTTCCCAACAAAGATGAAGTCCTGAAGATGTCGGAAAACTTAAAAGTTACAGCTTTTTACCTCTGACTGTTACAAAGCTTTGACACTGGAGACTCCTTCCATAGATGTTAAAGAAACGTCTCTTTAGAGAAAACTTCACCACATCAACAATCCGTTTATGTGGAGCGTCTGCTGTATACATCCTGTGAATGAGCTGTTGATATAGAAACGATAACGTATTAGAACGAGTGCATTAATATAAACCTGTGATTTGCAGCTCCACTACTGTCAGAGCTGCTGTTGATTAGAAAACTAATCAACACCTTCTGACCAATCACAATCCAGAATTCAACAGCACTGTGGTGTAATGTTTCATTAGGTGCTCAGAGGGACAGTCTTTATCTCAGGAGCATGCTAATGATGAACCAAACACACTGCTTACTTCAGTCACCCAATAGCACACACCATCACCCAGAAGTCTACACTGCTACTCCATCACTGTAAAAGCAGTGACACAGGACTGTGTGTGTGTGTGTGTGTGCACTCAGGAGTGTGTTGACTCAGAGGTCTGGTGTAAAGATGGAGGACACACTCCTGGTACATCCATGTGTCCATCCAAATTTAGACACGGGAAGAGGAAGGATAGAGCAGAGGATTGTGGGTGACAGGAAGTGATGCTCACATGGTACAGCTGTGTGTGGGAGGTCACATCTGTCTTGGGATCCGCTCACACACACACACACACACCTACACACACATGACTCAGGACACCGCAGGATCCTGTGACTCAGATCCTTTATACATGCATGGACACACACACACACACACACACACACACACACACACACACACCAAATGCCACAACTCAATTCTTCACCTTTTTTTTTTTTTTTTTTAAAGCAAATAATTAAATCACTTTGTGAGGACCAGATGAACGTCCCATTAATTTCCAAATCCTCCTGCATTATTACGAGGAAATTTGATCCTCACAAGAAAATAAGACCTGCTCAAAATCCTGAAATATTTTAATGGCTAGAAGTCTGATCTCATTATGTCGAATCTATTAGACTATTTCTGATCATGAGTGAGTTTTAACTTATTTAGTTCCAGCATTCCATTTGTGCAAAATACAATACTTTTTCACACTGCAAACACTGACATCTTAGCAAGTAAAAATATCTTGAATATAGTCAAAATTATTATATCTAGTATGTTAACAATAGTGCAGCTACAAATCACAGGTTTATATTAATGCGCTCATTCTACTACGTTATCGTTTCTATAGCAACAGCTCATTCACAGGGACTTGTACAGCAGACGCTCCACATAAACGGATTGTTGATGTTGCGAAGTTTTCTGTAAAGAGATGTTTATGTAACATTTATGGAAGGAGTCTCCAGTGTCAGCACTTTGAAACAGTCAGAGATAAAGCTGTAACTTTAAGTTTACACTTTGCTGTTTTTCAGTAACCTGAAAAGCTGTGTTTATTTTGTCTTATTAACTTCAAG